AAGCGTCTCTGTTGTAACTTAAAAAAACAGAACCATAGGCACTCAGTCAACGAGATAGGAGGAGACATACTAACTGATAGACAGCCTGCAATTCTTGTAAGTGATGCACCAAGTTTTTGGCGGAAAATTATGACAAAAAAAAAAAAAACGCTGCTAGTGCCAACACATCTCTGCAGTTTGGACATATTTCATTATATCTAAAAAACCAACAGATAGCAATTTGCAAAACGTGTAATGCTGAAGACAGTACACTTTTAAGACAGGGTGCATCTGCAAAGAATTTGTTCGGTTAAATTTACCACCTGAAATCATTATCATTTATTGTACACACAAGTGGGGTCAAGTTTTACATTTTATTTTATATTGTACATTGTTGGAATGTGCTAAATAAATATTTTCATATTTTCGTAACTGTGTTATTCTTTCAAACATTAATATTAATTTATGCAATTGCAGTGATTGATTTTTTATTTTTTTTTGGTTTAGTTCAGTCATAGCCATAAATGCAACAGTACTAATAATTGGCATAATAATTTCTTTTGGTGTTTCGGTTTTCGGCCAAGAATTTTGATTTTGGTGCATCACTAATTCTCACTGTTGACTACATACAAAAAGAAACCAATTATCAAAAAAAAAAAAAACAGGGCATGCAGTTCTTACCTTACACTAGTACTTCTGAAATAGTGAGGCAGGCCTCCCTGGGGTGGAGTTAGGTGCCAGGGGAGTGTGAAGGGCTTCTAATGAAATATGGCATGCTGGACAAGTGTACCATTGCTGTAATGCTTGACTGAGAAAATGTCTCCAGTCACTAGGTGGCAGCAAATCATACACTGGTTTGTACAGATAACAACATACATACAAAGAACATTACCTGAAGGACTGCACATGCACCAAAATATATAAACAATTCTATTATTATTTTTAATTATTTGTGTATTTCTATTTGATACTGAATTGATATCGAAGCAATGCAATCAAATGACCCAAAGACTCAAAATCTAAGGACCTAATACAGCAGCAGACACTGGTCTCACCATCGTCATTGCACCCATTTGAATATCAGTGCGAGTGTGTCAAATTAAAAAAAGAACAATAACAGTACAATTTTGGACCCTCTTATTGACCAATTTTATTTTCTGAACATACACCACAGGCACCTTAGGTAGTCCATGGGGGCTACCACATGCTCCAGGGCACCACATCGGTGACTCCGGTCCAAAAGGATACTCTGTATACTGTTTTGTCTTGGTGTTTAAGTGTACAGAAAAATTACTTTAAAACAACAAAGTCATAGCCAAAACATTTAAAAATTCCCCAAGTTGTTTGTTTTACTCTTTGCTCTTTACTGAAAAATAAATCTTTATTTGCATAATACAACTGAGAGGCATCATGAACACAACAGCTATGAAAACAGGTCAAAAGGTAACCAACCAAATAAAGAAACAGTTCTCGCATTGCTGCACGTCATGTCAGACAGTGTGTTTTTCTCTGTCTCTAAAGGTTTTCTGCTCCACGGATCCTCCTTGCCAACTGGATGTCACGAGGGAACAAGGTCACTCTCTTGGCGTGGATGGCACACAGGTTTGAGTCCGCAAACAGTCTGACAAGAAAAGCCTCTGCAGCCTGGAGTGGAGAATTACAGAGAAATATTTAAACTGATGCATATCTTCAAATAAAATGTGTTTTGTTCAAATTATATTGTGTTGTAATTGGTATTGCATCAAACAACAGTTTTTAATCAAATATAATTTAAACAAAAATAAGTTATGGTCTTCATTTTGAACAACTAAAGCACATTTTACCTTCTTTAGTATTAATGTGTCTGAAATGCATCACTTTGAGATGCTTTAGAGCAGGAGAGGTCAAACCTTCGTGCAGACGGACCTGGTCACTATCAGTTGGATAAAGTATGTTTATGTGAATTAATAGGAATATAATGTACAGGGCCAAACTCAAAATATAAATTCAATTCAAAGAAAACTTATAGAGTGGGGTTTCAAGATACGGGTTTAATCCATTCCACAACAGCACTCGTATGTAGTGATAAGTGGATCGATCCACTATCAATAGTATCGATACCAAGTCGGTATCGGAACAATGCTAGCCTGGTGAGATACATTCTTTACTTAAAGTTCTACTCTCATTTGCAATGCTCCGGTTTTGGCAAACAAGGAAACAGCCAGGTCGCCGGACTCGCCGCTCCTGTGTCAGCACAGAGCAGGCACACTTTGCTCCCCCGTCTCCATCTTGTGATTAGATGTCACGACTCACGTAACTAAGACGCGAAAAGCAAACAAACAAGCAAGTTACCAGCTCAGGTTCATCAGCACACGCACAGAGAAAAAAAAGAGGAACGCCATGTGATTGTATTTTCAAGCCTAAAACGAGACAACAGCAAAATGTGGGATTTGTAAAATGCTGGTCAGGTATAGTGGAAACACTACCAATTTATATAAACATATAAATAAAAAAAACTGGCCCTGCTGTAAGACCCCTAGCTGGACAGTTAGTGAGTCACAGACAAAATGCATTAAAAGCAAAAAATGTTAATATGATATTGTTCTTGAACAATAAACCTGTAACCAAAACCTTCGTTCTGCACAGATTAACTAAAGGCTTTCGGGGTTGCTAACTTTTTTTACATATTATTTATAATTTCACCAGTTGTTTTTGTTGTTTAGAAATTTAATTTAATTCTCAACAGTACTTGTTTGTTTACTGGTTTGCGTGCACTTTTTATTTAGGAAATTTGATAATAAAGCATTTTTTTATATATAGCATTTATTATAAACATTGTCCTAATTCTGTCCTTGGTTTTAATAATAAAAAAGGAAACACCACAAAAAAACACTTAAGGTCATGAAAATTAATCGAGATTTAGCAATTCAATGACACATCCACCTTATTTATTGAAAAGTAATGGTCTCGGTATTGGCGATTCTGGCCCGTATTTACTTTCCCCATTAAAAAGAACTAAAAACCAATAAATTAGTTCGAGCACCCAGAAATATACTATTAATTACTTAAATTAAAATCCCCCCAACTAAACAACAAAAACATAGATATAAACAAATATATTGATAATATAAATAATAATAATTAACATTTAACAGAAAACATTATATATTATTGTTATAAAAATAGGTAAAATAACCAAGCGAGGGACAGTGAGCAAGACAGCGCAACAGAGAGAAAGAGAGAGAGAGAGAGAGAGCGGGAACAGCGAGGGACACTGAGCACGACAGAGAGAAAGAAAGAGAGAAAGAGAGAGGGAGGGAGCAGTGAGGGAAATTGTGACAACGCAACTGTGTTGAGCGGGAAAATGGAGCTTAGTTGAAAACTCGTAACTAGATGTTTCCATGTATCTCGAAGAAAATCTTGCAAATGTTGCTTACTTGCAACTTGGAAAACTCATATTTTGGGTAGCTGGTATCTTGAAGCCCCCACAGTATTTAAATTTAAGAGGGAACAGTGATGTTGTCCCAGTTCATCAAACTTCGTTGTCAGTTTGACTGTTAACACTCTCATGACAGATGTGGAGCCTTTATTACTTAACTGAGATATGTGGCAAGATTTGTTGATGTTTGTTACACTGTTGTGGACGGGGCCCTCTTGTGGCCATAGATTATGAAGGGTTAATACGTTATAATAGTTTTGCAACAAACTGCCATGTCTCTACCTGAGCTAGGGGTAAACAAAAGTATTGATACATTGTAATATTGCAATATTTCGTTTCACAATATCGTACTGATATTCTAAGTCACGCTACTGTTTTTTTATTATTAACAATTAATGTGCAAATATTCATGGCGATGAATCTTTTTACTTTGCTATTATTTCTTCTCTAGTGATTACAAAGGTAGATCTCTCTGTTCCAATTTCAGAAACGTGATGTCAAGCATGTACAAGCTGAAAGGACATCCACGGTACAGTCTAAAACTACAATTCCCATAACACTGTTGCTTCCGAAATTCAGATTACATCACAACAAAAGTTCTGTCTAAGGTGCGGGCGTGCACAATCGCGCACTGCACGAACATTCTGAGCGCACAAGAACATCGAAAAAATCTTAAAATAAAACTCAACATAAAACCTACTGTGTTGTAGGTATTAATTGATGCAAAAAATAACATAATGATGTATCTCACTGAGTAACAGGAGTCCAGCCAATGATACGAGATGGTTCATTTACGCTACGCAGCCAAATCATACCATTGCTTGTATATTTACCATGTAGTGATGGGAATTTCAGCTCTTTTTAGTTAGCCAGATCATTTGGCTCAGCTCACCATTAAGAGCCGGCTTTTTCGGCTATCCATTTTACCACATGCCTTTTATAATTCAGCCACATTTAGCGCTGTTTTGACTTGTGATTTGTATTTGGAAATATATCACTTTAAATTTTAATAAATTGCTGTAGCCAATTGCATTTACAGTTGTAAAATCCCTTGTAGCAAGACATGGGTGATGGGTCCATTTCATTTCATTTTAATGGCTGGTTAGCTGCATGGTCACTAACACAGCAAACCACTTTGTTTTCTATTTGCCATTCCTTTGCCACTTTTAGCAGTTGCTCTGCTAAGTTTGCCATCAACAAAGGTGAAAAATAAGGTAAAATTTTAGTTAGATTTGTTACATTTTTTGGTGACATTTCTTAAGATTTTTCATTTATGGATATTTATAATTAATTGCTGTTACTACGAGATAATTTATGGGTAGTATGAATGCTAATAAAAAAATGTGTAATTATATTTTGCAGACAAAGTTTTACAGGAATTTACACAGTATCACTGCACATGTCATTGTGCAAGATGTGAATGTGTTTTAATGTTTGCACAGTGTTATGTCTGGTCTCATTCCCTCCAGAGCAAGACCCTCACCCAGACCACAACTGGACTTCACCTAGGCCAAATGCAGGACACTCACATATAACATACTACACGTCTGATGAACAAGATTTTTGTCTTTTTCATTTTAAGTGGGGTAAATTACTTAAATTAAAAGTAACCTAATGGAAATTGCTGCTTTCATTTAATTATTTTAAGAATCCATGTAACTTGATAAGATCCAGGTTTTAAACAAGTGTGATACCGGTGTGTGGGCACAGCGTGTACTTCTGATGTTGGTCATAGTGGTCCTCAGTGTACTCAGGGAGCTTGTATGTACTGTATGCCTCAGTGTACTCAGGGAGCTTGTATGTATGTCCAGACAAATGGAAACATTAGAGGGAACACTGATCAGAACCAGTGACCTCTGCAACCCTCTGGTGGTCTCCTAATGTTAAGAAATATCTGCTTGTCGCACAAGAAGACCCAACATGCTTTTGTATCCACCATTGCCCACAGCAATTAGTGCCAGAGCCATGTCTTCTTTCTCATCAAGTTAGAACTCGTTGCGTTATGTAAGTTAGGTTACAACTGCAGCTATTGACTATAGTGTATATGTAATAAAGTAAGTAATATTGTTATATAATAGAAGTATAAATATAACAATTTAGATCATCTTAATGAGAATGATTTTAATGAAATTGATTTGATTATATGAGACTGATTAAGATGAATTGTTCCTACACAGCATTGTGTGTTTACACACAGTGAGACTGATTAAGATGAATTGTTCCTATATATCAACTGGTATTGTACCTACACAGCATTGTGTGTTTACTATGCTGACAGTTTTTTGACATTTATATTGTTTGAAAAAAGTCAATATTCTAATCAACAAGCTTCAGCTTAGGACCATTAATGTTTGGTCAAATTATTTTCCATTTGACCAAATAATTACATTTTATATACTTGTTTTTCATATGTTTGCATAAGTCCTCAACATGTGCAAGGTATTGACTTATTAAATGTAGGTCTGTCTATCTAAAATGTAAAGCTCTGTTTCACTAGTTTGTGATCAGTGCCATCAGTGTCCCGCAGATCTTATTCAAACATTTTAGTTTTGGCCTCAACTGCACAGCTATTGGAGGGATGTGTTTGCTGTTATTTCAAATGTGAAGGGCAGGAAAAGTGACCCAATTGTGACCATCATTGTGGTCCTCTTTGCCGAAAGACCCTAGCTTTTATGACTATTCTGGCCAGGAGGGTTATTTTACAACAGAGGAAGTCACCAAAGCCTCCTTCTCATATACACTGGCATAGGGATACTCTTAACTTTCTTAAATTGGATCAGAATGTCATTACAGGGTGATACATTTTTAGAAATATGGAAGCCGTAGCTGCAATTAGCTGGTCGAACTAACATTTCTTCTGTTCCGGAATAGCTTCAATTGTTTTAACTTGTCTTATTTGTTTATTTACATTTATGGTACTCTGTGCATTAAAAGAATTCCACCTGTTTCTTTTTTTCCACATATGAATCTAATTTCTAAAATAGAATATTTACACTAGATTGTAGTGTAATTGGTCAGAGGGTTCTTTCTTTTGATGTGTGTTTTGTTTTGTTTTTTTCTAAAAGGATTGCACAGTGTACCTTCCAGTGGACTCACCACCCGCAGGAAGGTTTGTGGGGTTGGTACGGTGCAGTGTGATCTGGGTGGCGACTGCTGCCCCCGCGACCCGGTAACGGATAAGCGGATGAAAATGGATGGATGGATTGCACAGTGTATTTTATGTTCTCTATTGCTGATGACCTACATAACAAAAACCCTCAATATATTGTTGTGCCTGTATTTTTGCAGTAGATAGATAGATAGCACTTTAATTTTAGCTTTATTTCCTTATACTGTAAAATGCAATTGCATTGTCTCGTATCGTGACGCATATCACAGTGCCAGATTTTTGCCGATACACATGCCTAACCTGAGCTGCGCCATAATAATTTAAATGGATAATGGATGACTAAACGTTTATCCAGTTGAAGGCAATGGATTTCTGGGGCATACAGAGTTAGCCAGTCCATTGATGGTCTTCTAAAAACACTCTCATATCGCAGAACTGTTTCAGTACTGTTGAGTGTAAATGCAGCTTGGACAAGTGGACAGTGGTGGAAACGTCTTACCTCCTGCACAGCCAGGAGAGCATACACCTGCCATTTTAAGGCTCCTCGGGAAAAACTTTGACAAACTTCTCGAACCTGTAACATATCGAGAAAAATGTACTGATTTTTTTTTTAAAGATATGGCACAAAATATTACAATGTTGTTTAGAAGACATGTCAGGCCACTAAACTAAAGCTGTATGTTTATCGTCAATGCAAATATAACAGAAAACCACATAAACATCTTCCTTAAATATTTGCAATATATTTGTTGTTGCCACTGCTGGGAGACTCACCAGACGCGAGAATGGTGCCTTCCTTAGCAAAAGGTCTGTGCTTTTCTGGTACTTTCGGATTTCCATCAAGGCCTTGGTTCCTGGCCTAAACTTCCTTTTCTTAGTAGATGCTGGATGATGGAGTCCTAGAAACATTTTTTTTATGATGCAGTTGGGCTTTTGTTTTCAGAGTTAGTAGGACCCATAGCCAGGAGGGAAGGAGGCATGTGTATATAGTAGGAATACATGCTCAGGAGATGCAGCAGCGGTGAGTTGATCAGACAACCCACAGCACATCGCACTTGCTTTTATTAATAACCCTCCTGTTGTCTTCGGGTCAAAATGACCCACCACTGTGTTAAAAACCAATTAAAAATCCCCTAAACGATATTTTTTCAACTTGAAATTTGATGACTTTTTCTAGATTGACCCCAACATTAGAAAAACTGAATGGTTGCCTTTATTCATATTTCCATGTAAGCTCTACAAAAAAGAAAAAAGGTACAAATATTGTCTTCGGGTCAAAATGACCCGACAGTCAAATTGAGTTGAAATCACAGCCACAGAGTTAGTTACCCATAACGAAATGTGATAATATGTTAGTTCTGTCCCAAACCAATCAGTACCAGACGTTAACAAGACAAGACAGGTGGTCTTCTTGAGGACCGCACCCCGAATTCTCTCTGTGCTGAAGCCATAAGTGCGCCTTATAACGTTGAACAGGCTCTAGAGCTGATTTTTATCAGATGTCAAACAAGACAACTCTGATTCAGAAGAAGATGGGGAGGAATACAACCCAGAGAATGATGAATCTTCAGAAGAAGAAGAAATCCCTGAAGCTAAAAGAGAGACTTTCTTTTCAAACAATGGCAAAATAACATGGTCCTCGGCAGGATATGACAAACACGGCAGGGCGGCAAAACAAAATGTCATGAGGTTGATCTCAGCACCCACAAGATATGCAGACTTTGTCATGAGAAACACTCTACCTGTTCATCACACTAGCAATAGAAAAGATAATCCTGGAGATGACAAATCTGGAGGGTTTTCACAAATATGGAGACAGCTGGAAAAGGATGGATGAGACTGACCTGCATGCCTACTTGGGACTGCTAATCTTAGCATTCAAAACTCCTTTTTGAACATTTCTATTCTTTCTTAAGCTATAGAAATACTATACAAATGTTGCTTACCACCCATACAGTAAACAGTAATACAATTGACAGTGTCATAGCAACGAGTGGTGTCTTAAATGAATGCAGTCTATCTGCCAGGTAAAGAGGGAAAACTCAAGTATTTACACCATTTGTGGTAAATGACAAGTTGTTTCTTCAAGCAAAATAAGATTTGGTGATTAAAATTCAATTAAGCTGCTTATATCGGGTATTGGGTGTTTAGTAAATATGGGTCATTTTGACCCAGAGGACATGGAATACACAGAATTACATATATAATTCAGTATAGAGAATATGAGGACAACAGGAGGGTTAACTGGGGTAACAAAGTTAAAGAAAGGTATTAGACAAAAATGATTGCGGGAATGGCACTGGTAACTAACATTTTTGCATTTAACATCAGCTCTATGTTTCCATAAAATTTTCCAAGAAATATTTATATTTAATATATATTTATTGACAATAGAGGCCATGAACAATGTTTGTATTGTTTTTTTTCCCCAAACAAAACATCTAATTTGTAGTCATGATTGAGTCGATAATACACTGAAAACCTAATTATTATTCACTGTTTAGGATTACACAACAGTTATGTCACAATTCTTTACCTACTTTCACTCCAGAAAAATGAGACATTTTGTATTAAAAGGTAACTAGTGGTTACATACAACCATCTTTTTTGATGGAAAAATAACTTGCTGATTAATTTAGATTTGATTTAAATCACAAATTGAGTATTTTGAATTTTTTCTCTCTATCCAGTTCTCTTAGAACTATTTGACATATATTCATACTACCTACTCATTGACAGTAATTAAAAAGAAAAAGAAAAAAAATGCTTCTTCTAACACTGATTTTAAATGAAATTATATAACTTTCAGTGTATTGTAGTGAAGTTGGTCAGAGGACATTAGCCAAGGGAAAGTTAATGATGATGTGGATCAAAGGACGTCAATCCAAGGTGGCAGCCTGCAATTCTTACTGCTGACAATATGCATCAACCTAGTTATCGAAAGATGGGTGCATGCACTTCTTAACTTATACCAACCAACCAGTGCCCATTAAATACGAGGTAAAAAAATGTACCTGAAGGCCCGCTGCGTCTCGGTGAACGTTGTGTCGACGTGGACGGACCTGGCACCGGTGAGCGTCTCTGAGGGGCTTTTCCCTTACGACGGTGAGCTGAGGTATCATGGCGCATTCTGTCTGGGCTGGTTGGGGAAAACGTCTCTGCAGTAACTGCAAAAAACAGAACTACTGTATGGGCACTCAGACAATGAAATAGGACGAGGCATACTAACTGATAGACTGTTGTGTTATGTAAGGATATTTTGGATATAAAAAATTAAAAGCGTTCTTGTTTGGATGCGCATAGATGCAATCTATAAAATACTATACTATGGTATACTATATAATATAAAAATATCTGTGTTGCAAGATAAAACTAAACTTAGACATCTTAGTAAGCAGTTTAATGTCAAGTTTTTTAAATAGCATATTTAATGAGAAAACTTTAATGTTACATTTTCCCCGAAAATGTTACAAAGCCCCGACCTGTTAGCAGTTGTAAGAGCTAGCTTTGTTGTACAGTTGTTTTAGGGGGACGTTCAACACTCATAAAGGCAAATTATATGGAAAATTGTTGGAGAAAGTCAAAACACACAAACCTGTTGTGTCCTTAAAACATAACCGACCTTTTTAAAAATTAATAAAACTCGAAAACAAATAAACTGCGCATCGAGTATTTTAAAAAATGGAATCGGAATAGTACCAGTTTATCGAGGAGATTCAAAAGGTTGCGACTCACCAGCTCAGCCAATCAACGAGAGGCTAGGCGGGGCGTTTTTTCTGGGTAAGCGCTTGGCATATTTAACCTGACTTTTTACAGGGGCGGAAATTATTTGTTTTAATAATTAATGTTACAATATGTCATTATCTTAGTGTAGAGCCCAAACTCAACATTAAAATGCAAGAAACTCAAGTCATTTCTTTTTTTGTGAGACGCTTCTGAGATTACAGATGAGTTTTTTTAAATCTAATGATTCGCCTATTTTATCTTTACGGTATAAATCTATCAGTATCATGAGCAACACACCTTTGGTTGGTGTATGGCTAGAAGAGCATGGGTGTTAACCTTTGCAGTATAAATGTTCTGACACATTGTGTTTTATAAAGCCCATCTACTGGCTTGATTTTTTTTTTATGTCAAATATGCAGTTTAAATATGCAATTAAATATCCACATAGACAACACATTTGAGTTTTCATAGTGCTCATAATAATATATATAACATATTGAGGATTATGAAATTTAAAGCACCGTAAATATCTGTGAGCAATAGTTAAAATTGAATTTGGAATCCTTACTGAAATCTTTACTTGATCGATGTTGAACCAATTTATCATTTTTCCTGGAGCATGTTTGGCCATCTGTAGCAAAATGGCAAGATTGGGGTGGTAACTAGAGCATTGTGGGTCTCAGCCTTTCCTGACTAAACTCTCTCATATTTCTGGTAATGAAACTCTGGCTGTTGTCTCTCTTACTGCACGTCCATTAAATGTAACATATGACGTCATCGACTGAAGTGAAAGGAGGGATCACGTATGTTTTTCCTGTACAGGCAACATCGCTCCAGTTGTCACTTTTAAATTATTGTCTAAATGTAAAGTGTGAAGCTGATAAGCACACACAAAATACTGCACATAGAATAATTTCAACTCTCTTAAACGGAACTGGCTTTAGTGATTGATGAGTTTGGCTTTCTACTTAAAAGACATAGAAAAACAAAAATAGCCACAACGACAAATGCTTAAGCTGAGTTCTTTTATACTGTACGTTTTGTGCCGTTTGATACTACTGTCTCACTGTTTGCCAAAGTGCCAACAGAAACAGTTCATCCTTTGTTGTGTTTATTTATTATTGTGTTGCAGTATTTTTCCCTGCCTGTGAAGCTTAAACCTGGTATGTAGCTATCCATTGGCTTTATAATGCTGTCACATTTTAAGATGTTTGTTAACTAAGCTTCAAACTCAAATGACATAATTTCCCCAAGCCTCTCAATTATGCAAATCTTAATGGCAACAGTGTTAACAATATCCAGGTAAAGTTATCCACACTAGCAACTTTGGTAATAAAGTTGATCATGTCACATAATTGTATTAACATTTGTTAACATCTTACTGTTCACTTTGGTGATGGGTTAACAGCAGAGGTCACATTTCGTTGTGTGCAGTGTTGTGCTGTGTCACAATGTCAAGTTCACCTTCCTTTGTCTACTTTTTCATATAGTTTCCTGTATTTCTCTTTTTACCCTTACGCTAATATATAAACACACTTTGGGGATTTACATTATATTTTTATTCCTAAAAAGGTAATAAAGGACGGACCCCTTAAAGTAAGACAACATTTGGCTTTTTTTAATTTAGTACTTCTCAGCATGAGAAGCATCACGAGTGATGCTTCTCATCGCATAGGCGATTTCCGGGAGGGCGCGCTCGTGTGTGCGTGCGCGCCCTGAGTTACGTGATACGTCAGAGCGCTCTGTCGACTTCAGTACAGTTCTGATGACTTAGGATGAGCTGCCGCTCTAACTGTGAAGTGAACTAAAAGGAGCTACACAGCCAAACTTCAATTCCCGGGTCTGAACCATTGAACATATTCTTAGACAATTTACCGGAGAAAAGTGTCAGGAAAATCCAAAGTGGAGGGAGAGCCGCTGTTCTGTTCACGCAACGTCCGTGACGTCGCTACGCCGCCCGGGCTGCCGTTCCACTACCACCGCGTTCTCCTCTACCGCTCCCAAGCCGCTTGTCACTTCGCATCTAGACGGATACTTTCGCCATTTATATATCGATAGAACTGATCGAAATATCTGCACTGACCAGTTACGCCAATCGCTTCTTGTATGGTGATGGAGAGGAAGAGGACGGAATGTGCCGCTCTGCCGCCCGGCTGGAAGAAAGAAGAAGTAATCAGGAAGTCCGGGCTGAGTGCCGGGAAGAGCGACGTTTACTATTACAGGTAAGAACAAATCCACATAAACACCTATCGATCTATTAATCGAACGTAGTTTGGTCACCAGTGTCCTCCATGCCGGTGACGTCACAGCTTGTTCATGGTCAGTTTGAACGTGACTCTTGACATGAAACTTTGTTCAGGCTCTGTGACGTTATCATTACGTCAGGAATGTTAGATAATCTTTGTGATCGAACTGGCAGAAGTAGAATGAGAGGCATGCTGTTTTTCAAATGTGCTGCGCTTTCAAAGTTCTGACATTATCTTATCTCACTGTGTGTCGTAATCCAGAATCTGAGGTCGATCTCGGCATCATTTACTGGCTGAAAATTGTCAGGAGCCTTTAGTTATTTCATATGACCAGAATTGTCTTATGGACTCGGACTGTGTCCTATGTGGCATGGCCTTTATAACCACGTGGGCTGCAGTGGCTGTAGCCTGCAGACACTTACACTTACATATGTCCCACAAAAGGTTGTTTTTGCTCCTACATTAGCAATTAATGTTCATCCAAAAATGAGTCTGAGCACCTGTTAGCTATGTAGGCTGTCTACTGCCCTAGACGATGTGGACTACATTTAATTTTTGAAAGTAACCAAGAACTGCAGCCAACACTTTCCTCCTCAGATAAGCAACAGCCCATAATAAGTCCAACACTACGGTTTTGTACTTGCACTTGTACTTGTATTGTGTGTTGTGAGTCTTCCACTAAAAAGAAATACACAGACATCTACTCAGGAGCTCTCACAGACATAGACCACAACAGAAGCACATTGACAGTAGAGGTATATTTTACTGAGTTAAAAAAAAAATTTAAAAAGCAAATTTAGGTGGATATACTTTTCTACACCTGAGAAGTAAGGGTCTCTCTTCCATTTATTCAACCCACCAGGGCTGTATCAGGATGTAAAACAGAAATCCATAAGTATCCAAATACATTCTCTTAACAAATAATTGGTGGGCAACTCAGAAGAAACAACCCATGATGTTTTTTCTGAGGTTATGGCCCAGATGGGCAGCAGTGGCAGTACAGTGCAGACTAGACACCAAGTTATATACAGATTACCACATGCAGCAGTAAATATGTTTCTTTTGGAGTGATGGGGGAATGGAGACTGTTGCCAGAAAACAAATATCCAGAACCTCAGGACACAAAACATCAAAACTCAAGGGTCCAACTGTTCTTCAGTTCTTTAATGTTTAAAACTGTTCCCCTTATTCGCTCTTAAGGGAGAATATTTGAATTGATACTAGTACCACTAGTAATTTGGTACTTGGTACTACACAAGAACCTACACGTTGGTACCAAGTTGATGCCAACATGCAAAAAGTACATTGATGCCTGCTTTTTTCAGTACCAAATATTCAACTTTTCTTGGCCAAAGTGATGGAAGCAATTGAGCATTCAGCGTCACCACTGAAGAAGAAAGGCTGATATCAACCAACAAAATGGCTTCAACAAGTGCGGGTGAAACACAGCACCTAGACTTATCGATAAACCAGGTAGTAGAAGTCGTGTGGGGAGATGTTCGCATTCGAGGTGGATGAATGCAAAGCAATTATAAATCCACAAAATTTGACATGTAAACGGTGCCTCCAAAATGTTTAAACAAAAGGAGGAAATTTCAGCTTAAGAGCCAGCTCACTGTTTGTAGAGGTGCAGGCTCCTAACGATCACTCAGTCACTCCTTTACGTTAACAAATGGTTAATGTAATGTAATGATGCCGTCATATAACGTGAGATTATTAGATGCTCTCTGTCTCTGAGCTGAAGTTATTTGAAAACTTTATTTTCCTTTACAATATTAGTCTGAGGATGATACTGACCAGGAGACGCAAGAGGAGAGTCACACCCTAACACAGCCAGCAATCACAGAATACCAATGTTTTTTTTAATGTAGAATAGTTGACTACTGTTGTTGTGACAGTATTTATAATCACAGTACTCTTTGTATATTTTGGGATGTTATTGGCCACTGCTGTTGTTTTTGAATGTAAGGTTACGTCTTGGCAGCTGGTACTGCATTTTTAATTCTGTGCAAAAAGATGATGAAGCACAGTGATCTCAAATACTTGACAGTTTTTAAGTAGTGAATTTAAAAATACATGGTTTCTATTATTTTATTTTTATCCTGGTATCAAATAAGTAATTCACAGGTATTGGTATGGACTACTGAAATTCTGGTATCGTGCAACCCTACAGTGACCTGTTAGGGTTGTTTTGTTTAAGTACTTCTCCATAATCAATGTTATATGCAACACATTTGAAATACTACTGAGCCTGATCATAAACACTGCATTGATGAGAGCCAGCTAACCATTAGCACTATGTTGTATTTAGTATGTGAGATCCTTCTTTGGTTTTTCTTAAGACGTCAGTATGTATCTTCTACTCTTTGTTGACCCTCCTCGCCCTCATCGAGTTGTGACACTCTGCTGCCACCAGCTGTTTTCACACAGGCTGCGTCCACTTCCTGTTGATGTGCGCAGCGCTGAGTTACTAGGAGCTCAGTGCTGCTAACTTCCTGTCAAAGAGAGAGACCTTTTTTTCTTTTGTTTTTTTTTTGAGTGGGTCAGCTGTGAAGCCCGACTCATCACTGCCAGTAAAAAGCATGGAGTCAGCGGGTGGACTTACGAGAACAGCAGCAACACCCCACAGAGGCATTTGCTGCTCAGTGGTTTTATGTAATGCCCTCAAAGGCAACAAGATTTGAAGTGGTTCAAAAACTTCGGCATATGACTTTAGAACTGGAGCAAACAATGCTCAGATACATCTACAGGGGTTGTGAGTCCAGGTCTGTTCTTACGATTGATGAACCACTTGTGTAAGAAGCATTTTACGGAGTAGAGGAGCCCACTCCTCCACCCAAAAAAAACCCCCCGTTTCACCTCCATTCTAGGGTGCAGTGAAGAAGACTGAAGACTGATGAAATTTTATGGACCTAAATTACTCCATATAGCAGGGGTCCCCAAACTTTTTCCTGTGAGGGCCACATAACTTTTCCCTTCTCTGATGGGGGGCCGGGGTCAGTTTGTAACAGAAAAAATGTGACGATTGCAGGAGTGCCTAAACGTAAACATTTATTGTTTTCCAGAAAGCACAATCAAATAACCGTTTCTGGATTCTTCACAGAACAAAAGTCAGGAAATAAATAATAACACTATTAATGAAATAAATAATAATCAAATAACCCCCTCTGGGTTATTCACAGAAAAAAGCCAGGAAATAAATAATAATATTTATGAAATAAATCTCTCAAAGTTCTTGTGTCCCTTCCTTATAATCCTTTTGTAGGTTCCAGCAGGCTTGTAGACGTTGCTGTTTGCAGCTCTCTCTCTCTCTCTCATCAACCTCCCTGTGAAAACCACAAAGCAAGCAGCATCTGCACAGCACAACCAGTACCACTACCAGTATGGTTGTGGAGATGGATTTTATTTA